GCAGCAGTCTAAGCAGATAAACTGGATGTTAAGACTCTATGAGTGAGGAGTGTGCTTGGCAGAGGCATCAAAAGAAGCCATGGTGGGAAGGGAGCAAGATGTGGGGATGGCAGGAGGTGAGACTAGAAAAGTATGCAGGGGCATGGTCTTTCAGCATCTTCTGAGTCCTTCTGAGAAGTGTGGATGCTATCTTAGGAACAATGGACGTGAAAGATTGTAAACACATAATCAGTTACATCAGATGTGCATTTTTAAAAATACCTTTAGCTGCAATGTAACATAAATATAATATACTAATGGGTAGAGACAGGGAAACTAAAATTGGAAAGCAATTGCAATAATCCAGGAGAGTCTAGAAGTGTGGTAAGCTAGAGAGAAGTGAAATGATTTAGGGAATAATTTGGACATACAATTATGTGCAGATACAGAGATTTGTCAAGGGTGATTCCCATACTTATAGCATAAGTTCCTGATGAATGATAGAATCATTAACAGACATAATGAATACCAGAGGAAGAGTGTTTTAGGGCTAGTTGTGAGTCAGTTCAAGAAAGCAATCTGGGACTCAGTAAGTTTTAAGTACTTGTAAGGCAACTAATTCACTAGCCAAAGATCACCTGTTTTCTCAATAATTGGACCTATTGTTTAACTCTGAGATCTAGAGATTATTACAGACTGCAAATTCTGGTAGTAATTAGTGATATTCAAAAATTGCTAAAAATGATTATGCATTTAAATTAATTTAGTTGCCATCATATATCCAACTTTGCCTGTTCCACTGTAATTTATTAAATATGTATTGATATATTTTTTAAACATTTACTTTCAGCAAAATCCTTAGTTACACTCTTTTAAGATCTAATAGTTTGCTAACAAGTTTAATCTGGGAGGCAATTAAAAATGCATCATTTGGAATTGTGCAATAAATGTGATAGAAATTAGAAAGATTAAAATAGCATTAAAATATGGCTTATTACACCCAAAAATATGATAGGCTGTTTTGTCTCATATGATTTTAGGGTAAGTATTAGTACTTTTCTACTTAATATCAAATAAAAACCTTAAGGTTATATGATTATAGCTCAGAATAATTAATCTTTTTTATTCCTAGAGCAAGATACGTCTTCTATCTACACTGTGACACAAAGTGAGAATCAGAAGCCTGTTCCCATGTTCAGCCTGACTCTGTGAATCCACATTTATCCTCTCCTGCACAGGCTCCTTAGCAATTGGAGGGCAAATATCAAGCCTTATGGATCTTCCTTAGCATGGTAACTTGCATAGAGTAAATAGTCTGTAAATAGATACCATGCTGAATAGAATTAGTACTTTTTCTAACTTAATTTGACTATTTTGTATGTTTTTCAGAACAGGCTTGGACAATCTAGACCAGCATTCTCCAAAGACTAAAGATCATTATTAGCTGCAAAATTTCTCTTCATCAATGAAGGGAACTACTTCTACTCTCATCTCATGTTCTTATATTCCTACTAATGTATTTTCAAAACCCAAGTCTACCCAGAATAGGGGCCAGTACTGGAAAGAAGGAGGGTCTATATGTATCCTCTTCTCTCAAAATTCTCTTCAAATTTTTCAAAATACACCTTCCTTATTTTTTTGGAATAACAATAACTGGCTTACAAATATTGATATATAGGGACACTGTTAAATAAAGTCTAATTTTTCACTGTCACTGTCAGTACTTAAAAATAAAAAACAGTCAGTTACACATTTCACTCCATTCATTTTGTTCGTGTGTGTGTGTGTGTGTGTGTGTACTGGAGATGGAACCCAGGGGCACTTAATCACTGAGCCACATCCCTAGCCCTCTTTATATTTTATTTTGAGACAGGGCCTCACTAAGTTGCTGAGGCTGGCTTTGAACTTGCAATCCTCCTGCCTCAGCCTCCTGAGCTGCTGGGATTGTAGGCATTCATTTTATTCTTAATGCCTGACTTGAAATAAGGAGGAAGTACCAATACGTGAATGACAAACTCATAAATCCCAGAGCACTCACCACCTCTGCATCTATCAATTCCACATTCCCAGCAATTCACTCAACTTTCTGCTTTCTTCCATGCTGGCCTTATTCAAAGAATAGGCACATTAATAAACATAAAAGTACGATAAAATAATGGAGCCAGTTCAATACAACCTGATAGGAAAAGAACACATTGCTACAAGATCACTAGAAAATGAAACTGTACAGGAACCCCAGAAGTCAAAGAATAAGGCAGAACAGAAGAGCAGAATAGATCCAAAAGATGATCAACCTGGCTAAAGACCTGGGAGAGTCGGGCTTCAAAACCCAGCATCGCAGAGGATGTGGATTTGGAGTTCTCAGATCATATGTTAATGTTATTAAAACCTTTTGAAAGTGGATAACACATGAAAGAGAGAACTTTTAAGAGTGAAATACAAGGGTGAGGACAAATCTGCAGAGAATGCTGAAATTAGACAGATAATGCTGCCAGGAAGGGGACTCTAAGAACAGCACTGCTACCCCTCCACCACCTCATCCTTGGTTTTAAAATGGTAAAAGGGCCTTTTAGGTAGGGAAAGCATATGCCAAGCCAGGAAACCCTGAAAACATACAATGTTTAAAGGAATAATGAATAGCATTGCAAGTGGAATTTAAAGAAATGAAACTGAAAAGAGAATTTGCATCTAAGAGTCATTATGTGCCAAGAAAAGCAATTTGGATGTTATTTGCAATACAAACAGCAGTGGAAATAACAATCGAAAAGAAAATAACTATCACTTTTGGTTATAAACTGTATTGTATTAAATTATTGTCAAAATAAGAATGCAAAGTTCTATGTTTGAGTAATTATTCTTACTACTAATAAAAACAAGACAAGGCAAAACCACTACTAATCAAGGATGTACTGTGGCTGTTTTACAAATTGTAGTGATTGTTACACCTGTATTTTTTTATAGTAGGAGCTTTTTGTGGTGAACAATTCCTTTTGCTGATCTCAGGGGTGCACACAGGTGCCATGATAGCTGCAGTCTTTCCAGGGATAAGGCTCACAACTTTGGTCTTTCTGCTATGAATGTTTAATACAAGAGGCTAGAGTAAGACCTCCTCTTGAAGACCATCAAGGTAATGATAAATCCCCATCAAAAAGCATGTTATGCTTTCAAATCAGTTAACCTGAATCCATTTCCAAACTGATGGGAGAAGGAAGTGGCCACTTTCATGGAAGCGTCTCAGACACTTCAGCAGGGAGTACCTTGGTAAGTCCAGGAGACATAGGAAGGAAGGAAATGATCATGGCAAGAAGAAAAAGACCTGGACAGTAACACAACAGAATCTGCATTAAATGCTTCCAGAAAATATGGAAAGCAATGGAAGAGTTAGAAAACCAAATGGAAAGAGGGACCTGTATGTGATGCTACCAGGAAGCAGAAATGAAGCCAAGACTAACACAGTGTTTCACCCTGGGAAGGAGCTCTTTGAATGAGCCTCATCTTCTGAAATCACTCATTGTGTGTGAGGTTCCCAAAATGGAGAGGATAGTGTTCAATAACTCCCTCTGTATCACAATGCCATTGCCCCCTGCACTAAAAGAACCCCTAAATTCCTGCTCCCATGCTTTGTGTTGCCATGAGCACTGACTATACTTTGCATCTGGAATGTTATACCAAGGCCCATATGTTAAAGTCTTTGTCCCCAGCTTGGCACTTTTGGGAAGCGGTAGAACCTTTGAGAGATGGGGCTTAGTAGGAAGAAGTTAGTCCATTTGGGATGTGCCCTTGAAAGGAGATATTGCAACCTCAGGGCTCTCCTTTCTCTCTTTGCTTCCCAGCCACCATGAGGTAAATAGCCTTGTGCCACCACACACTCCTTGACATTATGCAGTGTGCTGCGACAGTCCCAAAGAAATGGGGGCCAAGTGACCATGTACTAAACCTCTGAACCTGTGAGCCAGAAAAAGATTTCTTCTTCTCAGTTTGATTATTTCAGGTCTTTTGTCACAGTAATGGAAAACTGACTAATACCAGCATCCTCCGCAGCACCTATCTCACTATCCATGAATATACCTTCACTTTTTTATGTAATTTTATAACTTCTTGTTAGACAAAGCAAATAAAGAATTTTAGAATCATCCCTCACACCCTACACGAGTCATAGTTCTCTCAAGAAGTCAGTGTCCAATAAATTTTTATATGATAAGGGGATAAAGAAACAACTACATGTATAGTATAGCAATGATGAGAATCAAATTTGGAAGAAAAGATGTGAATCTGTTCTTAAATGTAGATCCAATATGTAATAGTTTGGGCATGGGGTGTGGAAGGCCAACCTGACAGAAAACCAAGTCACTGGCTTAGTCCCCAGTTTTCTAGAAAATATTTTGTTAATTTTTTTTCCTTTTGTGTTAATTTAAGAAACATCAAAATTGCAACAATATGATTAACTCACACCTCTATTTCACTGAATGCTTGTAGTCTGTGCTTTCCTTGGCTGCATATTTCACTACTTTTATCATCAGTTGAGAAAAGAGGGAAAATGTAATACCCAAATGACATTTCCAAGCTAAAATTAAATTAAGTTGCAGGCACTGTTCAAAAGAAGGTTCCACTGGGAAGCAAACAAAAGAGTGGAAGGAAAACAGAGTCATCCTAGAGTATGGGGAAAACAGGACAATTGCACCTAGCAGTCACTATGTGTCCCATACTAAGGGCCATCTCAGCATCAGAATCAGCACCATCAGTCACAGTAAATAACTGTTGTTGATTTGAACATCATTACTTTTTTTTAAAATGCTGACTCTGAAGCAATTATCTGGCTAACCTCTGAAAATCTAAAGGTAAATAAAGCTCCATTCAAGTCCTCCTTTGGAAGCCAGGTTCCTTATGGAAGCTTTTTGTTAAAAAAAAAAAAATTCTACTCCAACAGCAGTGTAAGGCATGAAGAGTTGCTTCCAGTTTCAGTGTAGCTTTTACAATATGTCACTCTGATGCTGATTTCAGGCAGGGATAAGAATACTTACTGTATGCACATCCATACACTTCAATCCGCATGCCAATCCTGCCCTTGGAGTTCCAGGCTAAAGGCAGGAAACGCAAGAACCTGGCTTCCAAGGGAGGCTGAAGTCTGTAATGCACCACGCTGTCTGAGTTTGTGTTTCCTGGAAAGCCCTGGGAGAAAACAGAAAAAAGGGATAAAATATCTGTGAGATGCTGTCTCCTCATCAATGATCAATGCCTTGTTCACTTTGTTAATATGCAAAACGTGCTTGTGTTTAAGCAGATGTGATCCCCTCTCCCTAGTCCTTGTATTAATAACCATTGCCCAAGGTCCCTTATTTCCAAGATTGTTTAAATTTCACAAGCACCATTAAACCAGCTATACACATAGTACTCTCAAAGGCTTGCTTTTAGAAAGTAGTTCACCCCCTAATCCCTTTTACTAATCTTCAAGTATAGCAACAGAAACACAGGAAGCCACATTCCCTGGCCCTGGAATAATAAAAATCTAGGGCCAATGTGGATATAAAAAACAGGGTCTTAAAAGCCTCTGGATTGATCTGTTCTTATCATCCATGTTGTTTGAAGAACTGCATCATTAGAATATTGTTGAAATAAAGCATTTCTAAAACTCAATATTAAGTTGCAGGCTTTTACTGCTTAGTTTTACCTCCTGCTGGAAATATTAAACCAAGAAAGAAGACAGGTTTCCCATACTCAGCAGAATGTGAATAGCTCAGGTTTCTCAGTACTACTCCCTTCCCAATCAGAAGGAACATTTTATCAGATATTTGGAAATACAATGTTTGCTTGCAAAGAGGTTGTAAATAGAGAAAAAGCCAGAAAAAAATATTTCCAGTGGCATCAAGACTGTATATTTAAAATAATGTATTTGTATTGAAAACAATACTAGATATGTTACAAATATAAGTGCATGTAGCTTAATATATGGCCATAAATCCATTTTCTGAAGAATAATGAATTAAGTCCCCATATTTGAAAAGTTATGCAAAAGAATAAAATAAGTGTATTTAGCATTATGGAATAAAATTCCTTAATGAGTGTTTAATAGTGTGTGCACATCTTATGGACAACTTGAAGAAACTGTTTGCTCAGAATTAAACGAAGCATTGAACTGTATGTCCATACAATTTTGAGGGCATTTTAACAATTCAGTCAATAGCATTTTCCCATTAGCTTCTTCTATGTATTGAATATAGTAACATGTAAAATAGGATATTTTGACAAAATTTAGAAAACTTTCTCATTGAGAAATGCCATTGACCATAAGTATCATGATTTTGCATTTAGGTTAGTATTAAAATAGTCTAAATGTATGAAATTTATTTTACTTACCACCTGGATCAGTCTGGGGTGGGTTTGGAGAATGTCTATGATCAGCGAGGCCCTTCTCATGGCCCTGATCCATTATACTCATATCCCCAGCACCTCACAAGGTACATATATCCTGATGGTGCCACGCATGGCATGAACTTGTCACCACTCATTACATCTGTCTTATTTCCCAGGTGATTTAAATTCTATCCATGACCAGTTCAGTTCAAGCAAATGGAAGGTATTCAGTGGCTTTGCTGCAGGATAGATGTTCCTTGACTGACATTAGGGCTATACTCCCAATGAATCCCCTGTACATTGAAAAAATGGCGACCCAAAAAGGCACCTAACCTAAAAAACAGTATATCAATTCAGGATACTGACGAGTGAGTATCTATTTGTTCCCCATGAGATGCACGAATGACTGAACTGCATCTCACTGCCATTGCCCAGCACTGTGAAGAGTACTGGATATAATATTCTGGGGGGGAAATCAAAGTTCAAAATTCAAAGTACAGTTTCTACTGAATGCACACAGGTTTTGAACCATTATAAAGCTGAAAGTCCTAAGGGGAACTGTTATAAAGTCAGGGAACATCTGCATCAGAAATTCTTCAAATTTAATCATATGTGCTGGACTGAAGGGAGGAAAAGAACCATGGTATGTGTTTCTTACCAACAATGACCAATCTTTTTTCTTTTCTTTTGGTACTGGGATTAAACCCAGGGGCCCTTAACCACTGAGCCACATTCCCAGTCCTTTTTTTTTTTTTTGAATTTTGAGACAGAGTATCACTAAATTGCTGAGGCTGGGTTTGAACTTGTGATCGTCCTGCCTGAATCTCCTCCCAAGCTGCTGGGAAGACAGGCATATGCTATGGCGCCCAGCAACACTCACCATTTTAAAGAGTCCTTGCCTAACAGATACTTGTGCATTGACGCAAAGTCAGGGCTAACAGGGCCATTTCTAGTCTTAGTCATTCTCTCTGGTGCAGGTTCCTTGTTCCTCCTTATAGACCAAGCTGAATCAAAGCTACTTTATACAAATTCATCTCTAGGTGTGCCATTCTCGAGGATTCAAGGTCCTTTCTTATTTTGGGGCACCACAAAAGCCAGCCAGTGAATCACCATTTCTTAACTAAGTAATAAAGGGCCTTTGTGAGTCTAAATCATTTCCTGTGTTCACATGTGTTCCCTCCTCAAGAGCAGGGCTGCCTGAGCTTCAGAATGTATGTTCTGTCCATTTCAGCACAGGTCCCTTATTCTGGTGTGCCGGCAGAAGAAACAGGGGCATTGAACCAGATCATCTCATCATAAAGCTCCACGGTAGAAAAAATTAAAGAAAAGAAGATAAGAAATCAGGCCCTAAAGAGAAGGCCCATGCTCCCTGTGCAGAGCAACACAACATCAGCGGCTTGAGTTGGCACGAAAGGCCACATGTCAGGCTAGCTCCTGGCTGATTCTAGGAACTTGGATTTGGGGAGGTCTCTTGCCAAACCCAGAACTGATGAGAGTGATGACCTGTTACCTAAACCACCAGGATAAACAATGTGGATTTTGTTGAGCAGCTGCTTTGTTTCTGGGAATGCTGAGTTTCATATTTGCTACACAGAGTTGCTACATGGCTGGCCTCTTCATAAAAACCCTGGTATCCCAGGCTGATTGTCAACATTTCATGTGTGTCCTCACAAGTCACTGCTAGAGGATCTGAGCATTTCCTGTGCAGCTCCACTCGGGAAGAATCTAGGGAGCTAGTGTCTGGTTTTCTCCAGATCTTGCACCTAGCTGATCAGGGTCTGTACCCTACAGTTGTAAAACTCATGTGCTGCATTCTGTGAGTCTCTTGGTGAATCACTGAACCCAGAGGTGGTCTTGGAAACCAGTGACAAAGGACAAATCAAGTGCAACTTGCAGAGGCAAAGACTCAAAACTGAAGGAGCCTAGGACAAGCTCTATCTCGGTGAGAACCATACTCAGCTAGCTCTGCATCACTGCCCTTCCTTCCATCTTACAAAGATGGACCTTTCTTACTCACAGGATTCTTTGCCTGCACTTCCACACTTTGTGTAATAATCACAGGGCAGAGGAAGGTTCTTGGCATGCTTGTACCTCCAGAGAACTAGGGCAGCTCTACATCTTTCTCAACATGTTGCTCATTTGGCTAGTTCATTGCTCTGAGAATGACATCATTATTGTGCTTACAATAAAGTATTTAAATAAATAAATGCACTGACGTTTTTATTAACTAAGATTTTGGTAGACTAGTTTAGGTGAAGTATGGTAGGACTAATCCTTAGATTTACACACGTTACAGTGTGTTTATAAGGGGAACATACTATCACCAAGTTTGGTACCTTTCATTAAAAAAAAATAAATGAGAAGGAGAAGGAGGAGGAGGAGGAGGAAGTTGTTGTTGTTGTTGTTGTTGTCATTTCTGAGTGGTGGTTCCAGTTCTGCATTCAAAGAAAGTTCATTGAAAAAACATTTAGCCTGGGGCTGGGATTGTAGCTCAGTGGTAGAGTGCTTGCCTAGCATGTGTGAGGCACTGGGTTTGATTCTCAGCACTATATATAAATAAATACAATAAAGGGCCATCTACTACTAATATACATATTAGTAGTAATATAACAATATATACATATTATTATTATATGTATATATATATACATTTATATATAGTATATATGTATATACACTAAATACATATATATACACACAAATCAAAACACATAAATGTTTGTGTATATACACACAGAAACATTTAAAAATATGTTAAAATAAAATTACTATTTTTTTAAATTCTGTATCTTAAGTTAATCTGGTTGTTTTACTGATCAAATAAAGATGGCTTTTTTCTTGGCACTTTAAATTTGAGTTGTCACCTAGTTACTATAGGCTTAAACAGATAAACAAAGGATTGCAAAGGAAGAGCCTGGAGGTCATTTAGACAAATAAACCAGGCACAGAGAAACAAATAAAGCATAATCTCACTCATAGGTGAAATCTTAAAAAGTTGATCTCTTAGAAGTTAAGAATAGAATAATGATTACCTGAGCCAGGGAGAGTAGGGCTAGAGGTGAGAATGGTTGCTCATGAATACAAAGTCAAATTTAGATGAAAAAAATAAACTCTGGTGTTCTATTGAAAGATAGGGTGACTATGGTGAAAATAATATAGATTTCAACATAGCCAGAAGAGGAGATTTTGAATGGTTTACCAGAAAGACATGATAAATGTTGGAAATAATGGATATGTCAATTACTTTGTTTTTTTTGTTTTGTATTTTTTGGTACTAGCGATTTAACCCAGGGGAGTTTAAACACTGAGCCAGGATTTTGAGACCAGGATTAAAAAAAGAGCCTGGAGGTCGCTAAGTTGCTTAGGGCCTCAGTAAATTGCTAAAGCTGGCTTTGATTTGCTCTTCTTCTGCCTCAGCCTCCCAAGCTGCTGGGATTGCTGGCCTGTGCTACCACGCCCAGCAATTACCTTGTTTTGATCTTCACAGTGTATATACATGAATGGAAATATCACACTCTACCTCACAAATATGTACAATTATCCTGTGTCAATTAAAAATGAAATAAAACTTATCTTTAAAAAGCTATTATGCCAGTTCAAGAAACGAAGAGAAAGTAAGAAAAGAGGGAGGGAGAGAAGAAGGAAGGAAGGAAAGAGAGAGGGAAGGAGGGAGGATGGGGAGAAGAAAGGAAAAAAGGAAGGATTATACAGATTAACAAAATCCATTTTATAACTCCTGGGCAAATCACAATGTATGAAGTCATAGAAAAATGACCAGTCTGTCTCCAAATGTCCCTTTGCTTCTGCCCTATAGTATC